TTAGACGTTCTAGGGGACAAAGATTGAACACCAAGTACACTTTGTCCACTGTCAAACATGGAGGCGGGTCTGTTATGGTTTGGGGGTGCTTTTCGGGGTTTGGAATGGGACCTTTATATAGAATAGATGGTATTATGGATAAGTTTGTATACACAGACAAACTAAAGCATGTCATGTAACTTTATATGGAAGACAATATGCCCTTAAGATCAATCTTCCAGCAAGATAATGACCCGAAGCACACTTGAAGTCTCGCAAAGGATGAAAAAATACCAGTTCTCAAATGGCCTTCACAGTCTCCCGATATAAACCCCATTGAAAATCTATGGGAATACTTAGATAAGCTAATACGAGATAAAACTTATTCAAACAAGGATGACATTTTTGCCGCTTTAGAACAAAAGTGGAGACAGATTGATGAATCTTATATCAAGAAACTTCTACAATCTATGCCAAGACGATGCCAGGCGGTGATTGATAATAATGGTTATGCTACAAAATATTAACACAAACATGGTTGGTTTTCTATAATTCAATTCTTTGTATATACATTTTTGTCCATCATAACATAGTTCCAGTTTTCGTGTGTGCGTACGTGCGTGCGTGCGTGTGTGCGGGTGCTCGTGCTCGTGCTCGAGTAGTGATAGTTTTTTGTTTATGATGTTGTTATAGTTGTTTTTCTCTATTACGCTTGAAGCTGATTTATACTGTTCTGATTGTTATTAGTTTTTACGTAAAGCCTGTACTCTTAGTGGCAATTTTGGTGTGTTGTGCTATTAAAAGCTTAATAACTCAAAATCTAGTGATTTTATCTGAATCGAACCTCATACCAAAAAAGATTATAAAAAGTTGAATCCAAACTTGCACAAATATACAGGGTGATATATTTGAAATTTTTGAGAAAAAGTACAGTTCGCGTTTTTGACCACCCTGTATGAGCAAAAATGAAAATTCGAAAAAGTAACAAATAAGATAAAAGCTGAGGTGTGCAAGTTTTTTTTCGATACAAAATTTAGCACTCCAAATTTCAAAATGGCGGATTGAGGAGTTGCCGACGTGGACGGTTTTTCTGGACAATGCATCTCAGTAGCTAATTACCAAAACCCCATAGTATGTTATATCAATCTTATTCTTTTGAATTGGTTTATCCAAATATGCAATAAAATTTGAGGCCTTCCATTTAAAAAATCACAACTCTGACATGTAGGTCAAAATGAGACACCCTGTAAAATTGTCAATATTTTAGATCTGTGCACTCAAATGTCATGTATAACATGCCATAAATAGATTTTCCCAAAATGTATTTGTTGATGAGTAATATTCCGTCCACACGTGGATGGGCCACCCTGTATACATCGTTCGCTTTGCGTTAGTGTGAAGGAGATTGGATTCGGATACAGAAATGCAACATTCTAAGAAATTCAACAGTTACTTTGGCAATGGACATTTTTATTCAATATTATAATTCAACAATAAATTAATATCAAATGTAAAATCAGAATCACAATAAATAATATGCGAACTATCCCACAGCCTGTGTGGCATATGTTAACATATCCAATCACCATTTATACTTGAAGTAAGACAAAACACCAAACAAATCTAAATCGATTACGCTAAGAAAACGAATTTCGAAATGGATTTATATACCCTAACGTATTTCACTCGGACCAGCGACTGAGCGCTTCCGCGCCAGGCACCTCATGTCAAATTCGATTGAGCAGTTTGAGGTATTTCCCGGGATAGAAAGTAATCTATAGTATGTGCTACTCCAGACTATATCTCTATACCAAGTTTCATCCAGATCCGTTCAGCCATTATGGCGCACCTAGAATGTGGCCTGGCCTCTTAACGTAGCAATGCATCTACCTTGTCTGCCATGTTTGTTCAATTTTTTGTCGTCTCATTTAGCTTTTCCGTTTTTTATTTCTTCGTAATTTGTTGCTAACTAGATTTACGACGTACGTACGTGTTTCAAAAAGTGTCTGGACTAACTTAGATCAATAGATTGCAGCTTGAGGCTGTGCGTGCGAGCCGATAACCTCACAAAGTAGTAGCCTGTTTGTGCTCTCTTGATTTCTTCTGTCGGCGATTTTATCATAAACAAAAAATTTTAGCAAAGAGCGAGCATTTTGCGTGGCACTTGTAAAATCACATTTAGTTGAGCATAGCAATTAACCGGCGTATTACGACAATGGTTCTGTGCTGATTTTCACGTTTTTTGGGGAGCTTCTGGTATTTTCGGAACGATGGATGAGAAACGTATCTGGTACATTGAAAAACGACAGATAACCTCAAGCTTGCTTGTCGTTTTGGAGAGCTAGACGTCCTTTTGAAAGAGAGAATGCCTACCGAATGAGGTTCAGGGCTAGACTGGTTTTACTTGGTCTTAAAATTTGGAATGATGGCCTCGCGCAATGTCAGCACCTTTCAAACTATTGCACACACTGTATAGGGATGTGAAAATGAAAAGAAAACACAAACGAAGTGTAACCTGGAAGACAGATAAATAAAATAAGTTGTCAAAAAGTGTTATTTTTACTGAAGAAGGTCACCGCTGGGACGGACGAAACATATACTGCAATAAAAAAGAAGCATTATTAGCAAATTACCGACAGAAACAGTAAATATGCTACGACAAGTTCATGGTGATGAAGCGATAAGTCGTTCTCAAACTCTTGAATGACATTGGCGATTTGAATAGGGAAGAAAGTCCAAAAACACTCAGTAAAATTATTGTAAAATAAAAGCGATGAGGAAACTTCGCACACTAGTTTGCAAGGCTATCCGCCTCGAGCTGCCATCTGTCGGTAGTCTGGGAACGTTTTCAAACACCCTTGTAGGTACCTACATATGTATTTTTTTGCTATTATAAGCGTTTACTTTTGGTTACTTTATGGTTGGGTTGTCTTGTAAATGGTACTAGTGGGCAATAAATGTATACTTTCTATCTTCCTTTACAAGTCAGGACCAACAGTAAATATCTACTATGCAAACTACCTCAGTTTAACTTAATGCCTAGACTAAATAAAGAGATAGCAACGCCGCAATAGCGTTTCCCCTTTTATATTAGCCACAATAAAAGAGAAGAGATATGTTGAGTAGACCAGACGCAAAGCATTGTTGTAGCGGGCGGAGATACTCTCAGCGATTAAAAGCATAAAGGGAGAAGGAGATAGAAAGAGATAAATAGATAACGGCATAATGGGACTGTAAATAAGTAATTGGATAATGATGCGAGGATAGAGGGAATGTGTCAGCGAAAATGTTTTGCGGCGCTTTTACCAGCACCTCACGAAGTGTTAAGGAAGTGAAGCTTAGGTATGATGCTTTTTCCTCTGAGCTTGGTGAGATGCAAAAGCTTTGCGGCAGACAGGCGCATTGTGCGAAAGAAATGATATGGCTGGTTTGAGATATGGAAGGAGAGGGAGTTTTTTCCATGAGTCATGGTAGATAAGCGACAATTGGTTTTACACTACGATCTCTACCACTTTTATTTGAAACCGTCTTCTTTATATATACATTGCTTTTCGGAAAGGTTCCTCTATTTATTTTTTCAATTAATATTTTAGCTTAAAAATAAATGGAACTACTTATGAGTACTTTATATCCTACAATATAAAATTACTAACTTTCAAAATGGCGGAGTAGCCGGAGGCCAAAATTGAACAACTAATCATCAAAATGTTATATTATGCTACGAGTATATCCATCTTCTTCTTTTAGAAGGGTTTATCCAGATGTACAATAAAATGTGGGACTCGCTTATACAAATTTGGCAGACTTTGACAATGTTTTTCAATAGAATGTCCCATATTTTAATGCATATTCGCATAGACACATTCAAGAGAAGAAAATTGTTGTGACGGCTGGTTGCTGAGTTATATGTGACTCAAGGTAAACAAATGCTCAACTGTCAGATCGCCATTTTTAAAGATAGTGATTTTATATTCTAATGTTAAAAGTTATCAAGGAGAAGCTTTAAATTGAGATTTCACATGACCCCTCATTAAAAAAAAAATAGCAAAAATGGCGCCTAGCCGCCATCTTGAAACCTTCATCTGCCACTTTTATGCCGAAGGTAGTATTCATGCATCAATTTCATTATCCCAAATTTCAGCTTTTTATCTACCCATTCAAAAAATGAGTAGGGGGGGACCTTTTTGAAAAGAATTGTATAAATTTACCACTTCAGACTTCTTATTTTTTGGTGACATATTTCCAGTCTGGTACATTTAATCTTCAGCCCTGTTCGTACAGCTGTCGAAACCCTCTCAGTGATCGTGTCTGAGATCCCGCCACAAAAATTCTTTTCATTCTGCTACGTATACAGACAGAATTTACACGACCGGATCACATACACTGTCCCGACCACGGTACGACCAAACCGTTTTAGATATATTCAGTTTGATACTTGTCTCTTTGCCCTCTGCTCCCGTAAGCATTTTTTAACATTCCTATAAGACAGCATTCTGTACACATGTCTTACCCAGTTCATCCTTCGAGTTCGGGCTTTTTGTATTATACTGGATTGTTCCCATCATTCCCTTTAGTGATGCAAAGTTTCGTTACTTTTTAGGACTTGTAAGGACTCGTTACTTTCGAACTTTGGACTCGTTAGTTTAGTTACTATTTGGACATTTCGTTTTGAACCTACATTCTATATATTATATCAAATTATTACTTTGGGATTGATCCAATTATTATTTTTTGTCTAATGCCTTGCCTATTAATTTTTTTGATATTTGATACGTAGAAGGTACTTATATTTTAAACTCGTCGTTGTGTGACGTCTGGTTCGTCGGCTGTACGCTGTAAATAGTATTTAACAAGTGGCATAACCAGATGGGGACCGTGGAGGAACCACTCTCCTCACTCTTTACTTTAGTTGAGTAGCGTCTCCTGCCCTAACAGTCTGGTTACTCCCCTGCCCTAATTAACAGTCTGGTTACTCCACTGTAAATGGTGTTCAACAAAATACTTATAATAATAAAACATACCTGAAACAAAGTTCTTTTTGCACCTAGTCATATTTTCGTCTTCCACCCGCCGTTTTGCTCTTTCTCCTTCCAATGAAAGAGTCGGATGTTTAGTTTTCAAATGCTTCCTTAAATTGCTAATGTTTCCATTTTTATGCGAATAAATATTTTTACAAAGATTAGACTTTGCATTAGCTTCCGATATATTGGTGAAATGCATCCAAATAACACTTCTTTTTTGAGTTTGCGATTCTCCTGAACCGGACGCGGATGATTCCATATTTTTGTACAAATAATAATTATATTATTGCTCGAGCTTGTACGGCAACGTCCAAACCAGTAACAACCCGCCAACCGCTAGCTCTCAAAGTCAAATGAAAAGTGTACAGGTGTACACAAACATTGCCAACCTAAAGCTCCGCAGTCCGCAACTCGTTTGATAGAAGAGTATCTAAAGTTGCCTGAGCCTAACGATATTCGCATCATTTCATTTCCACCCAGTTTACATCCAAGAACCAAGTCACTTGCTGTTGGCGCTGGCAGTACTGGCTACATTAGATCCCAGTAACGTTTGTATCTAATGTAATGTATAGTGTAGTAACTAACAGTAATTAAAAAGTATACATAGAAAAAGACCGTATCGCATTCAAAGTAACGAATTCAAATAAAAAGTAACGAGTCTTTTCAAAAAGTAGGACTCGTTACATTTAGTTACTCATTTGTAACGATTATTTTGTAAGCGTTACTTAATTATTTTACATCACTAATTCCCTTGTTAGTTTATCCTCTCAGTACATCAGCATCGTTGATACACGGAGAGGTCTACATACTGACGTACATAAAATATATAGAGGCACCTAAAAGCGATTCGAGAACCTAGCGCCATCTATGAGACAGTAGCAGAACCAAACTTGTCAAAATACATTTCTAAATGTATTTTTGTGCCCTGCCTCATAGATGAGACCAGTCTCATTCAGATTCCTTTTTAGACACCGTAGCTCAGTATGTGGTTGGCTATTTTCAGGTAGAATACGTTAATCAATGTTTTGTGTAGCCCAAGTGTCAGCCAGTTTCTCTCTAGCATTAATCTAATCAAATGAAACGCAATTTTCTGATTTGTTCTAGACTCGTAATAAATAATTAATTTGATTGATCACTTCATTATCGGTAGGGCGTCCATAATTATCTTTAATTGAGCATTTTATTGATCGTCAGCAAACGTGTTGTCCGTCTTTGTCACTTTTGGTATTCGGGTCAATTTCCCGCTGGAATCAGGATTTACCGAGACCATATACAAGAAAAACTGCCAGTTTCGCACTGTAGCGCGGCGATATCGACAGTCATTTGTTCTGGTTTTATGTCGATTTCACAGCACGCTTCGACGCACTCTGCAAATAGCTGATTAGGTTTTTCTTTATTATACTGCATATCCTCTTACAAAGAAGTCACAGACGTTTTGTTGGGTTACCGATCGAAATACGCGAGCGATTCGAGTTAGTAGAAATACCAATAATAAATAGACCCAGATTTTTGATTTACCAGCGTTAGGGCACGGTACAGAATGTGTTCCATTTCTGTCAGGGCTCGTAGCTCACACCCTTGCATTACTATAGCCACTTGACATGATATAAACAAAGCAGATTCCTTATCGTTAATATTTATTATCTCATCATAGTCGGAGGTGTCAGTGACAATTGATACAATTTTTGAACTAAGTTTGATAGACCTAGAGCAAGCTTCATCCATTAGAGGAACAAGCAGTAGTAATAATGTAGTTCATGCGAAATCAGACAATCTAGGTACCCCAACACTAAAGCTAACAGTCCAACCAGCATTAGAACTTGACGTCGAACCTTCAAACCTTTAATAAATGTTACAAAGAAAGCATTTTTCTAAAAACCATGTAAGGATAAATTATTCTTATTGGCCCAGGATCCTATACATTTTTGTTCCAATTTTAGCACTATCAATAACATTAAAGACATATTTTTTCTTTTTCAGGTAAGTCTAGATGTTGCGAAAGTTCGTGTAACATGAATCTGTTAAGTAAGTCTTGTATAGTTTTTTCTTAACATATACGCATATATCACCTTGAATAAACAGTTCATGGACAAAAGCTATTATTTTTTGTAAACTGTAGTTATAGCATCACTTACTCAAACACACACTTCAAACAATATTATAAGAACGTTCACCAAAATGAAAGCAAACATTAACAATAATTGATTAGGACAAAAAATGGTAATAAAAACACCAAGATGCTTTTATGATGGTCAGTGTTATTTAAACGCTTTATAATTGACGTTTGAAGTAACATTCAACAGTTTTTGCCCATGTGTGCTTTCATAGCGGTAAATTGAGAACCGTAAAAAAATACTTATGGCAGGTGATGGTAAAAATTCTTGTTTCATTCATCAACAATCTCTTGAATGTACAGTTGATTAAACAACACAAATGGAGCTAAAAGTATTCGCATACTTATTCCTTCAATTGGTGTTGAGTGGATCGATCAATCAAATGGAGAAATGTCTTACCTGGAAGGACTCGATTCATACCATGAAATAGTATATTATATAATAATTTGGTGAAGTATAATATCATTGGCCGAGCTTTGTTATAATGCATATAATGTGCAAGGACAGTAAAGGCGTTCTCCACCGATATATGTATAAATTTTTTTTCAATACTGTAAGTTACCACATTTAATTTGATAAGACTTCGAAACACGCATCTGAGAATTTTCTGAATGTCCGGCGGCACAGCCCGGAAAAAGCTCACGAAATGTGGGTAAGGGACGGCAGAAGCCTAAATGCCAGAACACCGCGACAGCTATGAGGAGCTTAAAGAAACTTTGTAAATCCGATTTTTGAACTGCCTTAGATTAGTAGAACTGGGAAACGCGTCCTCATGTAGATTGTTTCACAATCTCGCTACTCTAGGGACAAAGGAACGGTCGTATAGGGCCAGTTCTGTATGGACCAAATTCGACACGGTTAGGATTGGAGGGCGAAGTCCGGCGGGTCTGCCTGGCAGGCACATGGCATAGCGGTATCATGGAGGAGAACTCTGATGAGCAAAGCCCGTTGGAGTAGCGGTAGAAGAGACGTCGCGCCGGTGCGAAATGGTCACGAGACTGTCCTTCACAGAACAGTCATCGATCAGTCGGATCAGAACAGCATCGAGCATGGATAATGTAGTCTAGGAGGCTAGGTCTTACCTGGAAATTGTAAAGAGTGATCCTCAGCAGCTGCCGCTAATGACGAGATGTGTTTGTGCTACATCAAGTTCTCCGTGATCTGGACTCCGACCAGCCGTAGAACTCGGCCATCCATCGAAACCGGATGAGCGCTACGACGTTTCTTGTTCATCAAGGTACAGTATTGTGTCTTGGAGGCATTAAACTGTACAAGATTGCTGCTTCCCCAAGCAGTGATATCCTCCAGGTCTCTCGTCAGAGAGGAAGTCGCAGCTAGTCTTCTTTTCTCCAGCTCACCTGAATTCCACTCTACTCGGAATTCCTGCATGTAGCGTGCTGTCATAAGCAAAGTTGTGTATTGGATTGTCCGTAAATGAAAGGAGGTCGTTGATATGTAAGAGGAACAGTGTCGGAACGAAGACCGATCCCTGGGGAACACCCGCGCTGATGTTGTGAGATGAAGAGGAGAACCCGTCAATTACGACGGATATCTTGTGGCCAGAGAGGAAGTCAGCCACCCATCTGCAAAGTTTCTCTGGGAGGCCATAAGATGCCACAGCTGATCGAACGCTTTCGTGAGCAACGACATGAGCCTCACCATAAGGCTGGATGCTAGGGGGGGGGGTCTCCTGTGGATCGCTGGTGCCGGAATCCGTTAATAAAACCGTGATGTTTGAGGTAGTCCAGAAGCTCCAGATTTATGAACCACACCTTACTTTTAACAGAAAGCAGATCTGTAGGCCTATAGTTGTAAGGGTCGGTCTTAGATCCTTTTTTGGGATGGATTGGAAATGAGCAGTTTTCTGGAAAAGTACCGGAGTCGTAAGATATCTGAAAAAGACGCGAAAGGAGCGGAGCAAGCTTCGCTGCACATCTCTTCAATACAACGGCAGGAATCAAGTCCGAAACCGGAGCTTTGTTGATGTCGAGCAACAAGAGCCGTCTTACGGTCGTATGCCTGCATGTTACTTCCCTTTAAATCGACGGCACTCGGGCGTTGGGGGGACGTCCATCGTAGAGTTGGCAGCAAAGGTCGTTTCAAGCATTTCGCCTTAGCCTTTGGGTCGGTAACAATTGTTTCATCCTAGCACGTAAGTGGGAGGATACTCTGCGAGAAGGATTATTAGCATGACAACCACAGAATAAGTTGATTTCGAGTTCATCTACATTTGTAAAGTAGATATATTGGCAAAGCCGATATCAGATTCTTTTTACCCACCAACTTGTTATGGATACATTACCATAATTTAATTTGTTTAATGTGAACCTTCGATGCGTAACTTAACCTGACCAATACCAGATAATCGTGTGGTTGTCCATCGGCAAAGGGTAGCAGCGAAACAATGGAATGCAGCTATGCAACCTTGATCCAATGCTCCTTAAAGCCTTCGAGTAATAAATCTGCGCACCGGGCAGGCAGGCAACCTTGTCCAAAGATTTTGAATTTAAATGAGGAATTGTGCGGCAATCTCAGTCGCTCTGGCATTTTTTTATGTATGGGCCAGCGCGAATTAATACTATACCCTCGTACCATTTTGACAACCATCTTATACCATGGCAGAAGAAAACAGCAAAAAAGACTGAAGCGGTTGGCTTGATTCTGTTTCGAGTTGGGTACGAGGTGAAGTTAACAAATTCTTCACAGAAAAACAGGCTCGAGGCACAAATTTTAATTCAATGCTTATTGGATAGTATGCCACAAATTATTAGATTAGATTAGATTATTACCCCGAAACTAGAATATTCTGTCCGGAAGGTCTGTGACGAGTTAAATAGTGTGAATATTCAACAATCTACAAATAGTGACATATACTAAGTGACATATAAATCCGAACACCCAGTTTAAATGGTTTTATTTTAATAAAAGTTGGTGAATGTATTTATCTTACTGTAAATAACAAGTGAAAAAATTTTCAGCCTTATCAGTTGGACATTCCGGTTTTTATACTGCTTTTTTTAATTCACTAACGCTCTAAAAATGAATATTTCAGCCGCAGTAAAGAATCAACGTTGGCGGATTTTGGTTCTTGACATCCTTTACGATCGGTTACGATGCCTAGAGTACGGAGACCTGTACGATTTCG